TGCCCCCAAGACGGCCCAAGATGCATTTTCGACGGCCCAAGATGGCCCAAGACAGTTTGAAAGGGGGCTGGGAGGCCCAGCCAGCAGCTTCGCCTCAGGCGAAGCCAAGCTCCCGCTCTGTTGTACCGTAGTAACGATAGTCCCAGTATGAGAGGATGTGTCATCTCCATCAGTAGGCAAATCCTTTTGGTCTCGATAGCGATTGTGTTCCTCGCAGTGAAGCACAGTCATATTTGGGCGGCCGGCCGCTTGAGCCGACGCGGCCGCGGGCGCACGCTCGCTTCCACTCCTTACGTCCCTCAGCTCGCTTTAGAATCGGGGGGGAGACGAACCGTGAGCCCGTCGCCCCTAAACAGCAAGGACAGAAGAGAAAGCGGGCCAAAAGGAAGGTGGACCCGCTCGCAAGCTGTCTCGCTTGTACACTTCTGTACGCGACGCACTCATCAGGCAGCGTCAGAACTTGATGCCTGGCCGGCCCGGTATGGAGTATGTCTCTTAAGGTCATGTCTGAAGGCCTGTATACCTCCCATGAGTTGTAGGAGCAGTTCTCTGACGATGCTCCCCTTGGCGTGACCATCCGCAGTCAGATCGCGGGTGTCGCACCACTGGAAGCCGTGCACGATTCCACGCCCCATCATCTGTCGTATCCAACGGATGTGTCCTAAAAGGGTACACTCAGTCGGCTTCTTTAAGTCTTTGCTTGACAGGGATTTAAAAACAGACTCAGCATCGATGGCCAAGGTGACCTTGATGCTCAGGCCACCCAACTCCAGCATTTCTTTCAACTGAGTGGGCGTGAGCGGCCCTGCGTGGAGCTCGCGCAGAATCACAATCGTGGGATAACAGGCCTCCAAAGTACGGGCTGCTGCTAGTGTCTCTGCTGAATAACTCGAGCGGACCTGCAAGCGGTGAGACTTGCAGTACGCATCGATCAAGTGAACGACAGGTTTACCGGATGACGTGTGCCCACGTCGTAGCAGGTTTGCCCCGCGAATACCATAGCCTGGAACGACGTCATCGGCGTCTCCACTCAGGCGTCGGTATCCTGAGTCGCTACGCAGGTCGACCTCGCCCGTAGGATTCATCGCCTGGTAGACGATCTTCTTCGGGCAGGCCTGTAACTTCCTGGTGTTCGCGTTCAGTCGTCGCACTTGGACGTTGGTCAGTTCTTGGACACGTTGTAGATAAACAACATACACCATCAACCACACATGGGTGATTAATGCATACGCCAGCGCACCCCTGAGGCTGACGAACATGTCTGCAACCATCTTGGTTGCCTGAGCGTCAGCGTCGGCGCCGGTCAATCCGGGATGCTGTATAGGAAGGAGCCGTTTGATATATTCATTTTGGTCCAAAGTGACACTGCTGTCCTCATTCTTGGTGTATATCACAGCACAGTTTGTGCACGTGTGCCTGTTGAGTTTACACTTACCAGTGGTGTCTTCACCGCATTTGACATACTTGTCAATGGTGTCCTCAATACCCGCCACCATAATTTCATCGATATGCTTGGCCGTGAGCAAGTTGTTGCTTGTCTCGAACTCCTCGTCGTAGGACGTGGGTCGGAGACCGAAGCCTCTGGTGGTCCTCCTGAGCTTACGTGAGAAAGCCCGTGGAGTACGTCCGGTCCTGGGCGCACGACATGGCCCCGGCCCGCTGGACGGAGGTCATCCGCTTTGCATGGCAACAGCTCAGCACGCATCTCCAGACTGGGAACGCGGAGCTGCTGCTCAGCGCGCTGGGCCGGTGAAGGGCCGGCGGCCAAGGTGACCCACCGCCGCCGAGGCGAACGGCCGCGGCTAGTACTGCTACCGTTGCCACCACCAGCCGCACCACAGACGCCCCCACAAGCACTGCCGCACACTTTCCGCCACAACCACCACGACCTTGAGCCAGCCACAACCACGACTTGAGCTACTACCACGGCCGCAACTACACCACGGCGGCTGCCACGACGCCCCCACCACGACCGCAGGCGCCAGCGACAGGAGCCACGGCTACCACGACTACCACGACTACCACGGCCACGACCACGACAACGACCACCACGACAGCTACCAGCACGCCCAACAGCACGACCCCCGCGACAGCCCCCAGCCCTCCGTCCCCCCTCTCCCTCCTCTCTCTCCCTCCCCTGCCGGGCCGCCCTTGCCGCTGCGCCTGTCGCGCATTTTTCGGCTGTGTCGAGCGTGCGTGCACGGGGTGGTGGCGGAAGTGGCCCCGACCAAAGGGGATGCGCCACCCACCCCGTGCCGCAGGACCGCCTTTCGGACTCCGGCCCGACACGCCTAGCCCCGCTGGACACGCACCTCAAAGATAGGTGCGTGCCAGGGCTGCGGATCAGCAGAGGAGGAGGAGGAGGAGGAGGAGGAGGAGGAGGAGGAGGAGGGGGAGGAGGAGGGAGGAGGGGGAGGGGGAGGGGGGGGGGAGGGTGGGTAGGGGGGGGAGGGGAAGGGGGGAGGAGAGGAGGAGGAGGAGGAGGAGGGGAGAGGAGGGGAGTGGGAGGATGGAGGAGGATGATGGGGCAGAGTGAGGTAGGAAGGAGGAGGGGAGGCGAGGAGGAGAGGAGGAGAGAGGAGGATGAGAGGAGAGGAGGGGGAGGGAGGAGGAAGCAGGAGGAGGGAGGAGGAGAGGCATATGATGAGGAGGAGGCATGATGGTAGGAGGAGGAGGGGCATGAGTAGGAGGAGAGGGCCCAAAAAAAAAAAAAAAAAAAAGAAATTGGGGGAGGAAGGAGGAGGATGAGGAGGAGGAGGAGGAGGAGGAGGAGGAGGCCTGGCTGGGCCCACGTTCCAGGTTAGAACACCGCCTCTCGGACGCGCAACTCGACGTCGCGCGCAGCGCTCGCCTGGGCGAGAGAGCCTGCCCTGCTGCACGAGAGTGTGGCGTCCCGCTCTGGCTTCGCGGGGTTCCTGGATGCCCCCCCCCTGCCTTCTCACAAGGGTCACCCAATCTCGCCCTACCCCCCCTGGTTGCGCGCATCCGAATCACATGGCCTGCCTCCTCTCCTTACTCCTCCCCCGCCTCTGCCAACGACGACGAGCCGACAAGAATGAATAGGATGACGCTCAGGATGACTTCCAAACTAGCCGAGAAGACTATCATGGGCTCTTACCATGACAGTCGGAGCAATGACTCCCCTCCCCGCCTCTGCCCCACGACGACGAACACGACGACGGCGGCGACGACGGCGATGTCAGCGGCGGCGACGACGAAGATTGGCGCAGAGGCAGGGAGGCTGCTGAGCAAGAAGCACGGGGCGCACGGGCACCCGGAGCAGCCTGGCACGGGAGAGAGCGCCTGCCCCCGGCCACCCTCTGGCGGCTGCGTGCAGGCGCTGCGGTCCGGCAGCAGCGGAGCTGGCGGGCTGTCTCCAGGCACCTCCCCCCTCCACCAGTGCTGCAGGGCTGCCCAGGGCTCCCGCAGCGTGCCTGCACCGACCCCGTCGAGTGCAGCCGGACCTCCACCTCAAAGACACACGGAAGGGATGCAGGACTCCTGGGCGCGCACGCTGAAACGGTTGCATCGGCG